GTTTGGAATCATATGGTGGAATAGCCACCAGCCATCGCATCCGCATGCAATAAAGCCTCAATTATGATGGTTTCATCCATACGTCGTGCGAATATCTGTCCATACATACTTTGGTTTATGACCAACACTTTTTCTCTTATAAATTTCATGTTCATACTCGTTTTCACTGTTCAATACCTACTTCATTTTTTATGTGCAAGTCAACTTTTCAACAATTGCAGAAAAATGCCGCCTTCCTTACAAGTGCTCGAGTGATTGGTCGGTCGACCGTTTGGTGGCATTCAACATGAGTCATGTGCATTAGGTTCAAGTTAACGACGTATGAACACAAATATGTATGTAAGTAAGTATGCAAGGCTTTTTTTTGCAACAAGTATACTTGAATATGTGCGTAGTATGTGTGCATTTATCCAACACACAAATGGGTTTCGCAGCTTACAATAATTTTCTTCCACGCTCATTGAGCGGTGGCAATGAGCTCAGCTTTAATAAGAAACAAAATTACATTAATTAACTTGGATCAAGAAAGGCGATCAATCGACTAAGTTGGCATTTTTTTCTTTTTGTTTTGTTCTGGTACATTATGGCTTTAAAGTGTTTGCGCCATTTTTTCTCCTCAGTAGAAAAATTAGTTTCGCCGCCGACATGACAATTTAGATTCGTTTATAGAGAGGTCATGCTTATCTAACGTTTGGATTCTCGAACCAGTCTTAATTGAGTTGTTGCCGCCTAAACAATTTTGGATGAGTTCAACAGCTGAAGTCAATTGGAACGTTGTTTTTGTGTTTGTGAATTTAAAGAGTAATGCAAGCAAGTAGCTATCAGACCCAAATTTTAAAAAACTCAAAACGTACACCTATATCATCATCGTGAGCGCCATTCAACAAAAAATTGTTGATAAATTATTTGTTTATAAGATCATTCTCTTTGAAGTCACACGTTTAGTTTTGGTCTGTTTGGCCATGCGAAATACCCAGACAGAATGGATGACCTTTGTAAAAAAAAGTTACTCATAAACTGGATCCTGTAATATCCCCATTGACCCGACCTAGTATCCGCTCACCCTTAACTGTTCATGAAAGAAATATTAGTTGCGATCTTGTACGAGTCCGGACTAGTCAGAAATAGTCCGAATCAGTCAGATTTTACTGGAAATCGATCCCGTACTCGGTTCTCTGACTTTTGAGAGGACAAAAAATAGAGTAAATACGGTTCTCTCTCTGTCAGAAGTTACCAGTTTTAGTCCGAGAATTTTTTGCTATTAAATTCTGGTAAATGTGTCAAACGATCAGCTGTAGTGTGTTTGGCAACCAAATTGTAAACAAAAGAAAAGTGCACTCTGCTAATTCATGTTGAAAAGTATTTAATTACTTGTTTAAGTGGATTCTAATGAATTTGAAAGTATTTTTGGTTATTTNAATAAACTCATAGCTAGACATTATCCAATATGCACCACGCCCCACTCAGTGTGCGCGCATTGTAGCTTTATAAAGTTGAATTATTTCACCATACAATAAATTGTTTATTTGCTGCTATTTCAATATGAAATGTTTTTTCACTCCCATTTAAACTTCACACAAATAATAAAAAAAACCTGAAACAATAAAAATGATCTAATAAGCGTTTTTGCATAGTCGTTATTCAAAATACCTACATATGTACATATATATATATATTATTCGCACATGATTCACTCGTTTAAATTTTAGGTTAATTTGTATTCCAGTTTTTTGTTACCGCATTTGTCTTTCTAAACTTTAAAGCTGCTTCAGTTGACATATAATACGTACGTACATATATGTATGTACATATGTACAAACCTACATGACCCGCAATTTTGTTTTCCAAGATACGGGCTTATTTTTTGGACTTATGGGAGCTTCATTTTAATGTCATGTAAGTGATGAAAGTACCTTGATTACTTAGCCCTTAGCCGATTCCATGTGAATTAATTGTTCAAATGATTTTACAAGCAAAACAAAATCCAGTTGGGAAATATTTGTATTGTTTTAATTTATAATTTGTTTGGTAATATGTGTCTTTTCACATGGAATTCCCATTAAGGCCGATTATTTCTTCATAGACGATTCATATAGACCCAAGTTCCTTGGAAGATGAACATTAATCTGGACGAAGACATATATGTATTCTTAATCGCCTAGTTATCAAGCTTATATATTATCTGAATTATCTACTCATGATCTTATTGTAAGCGCTGGCTTCATTTACAAAAAAAAGATAGGATTAAAAACACCGAAGAAAAATAGGTAATGGGCAGCATAACTCTTTTTTTTCAAAATCGCATAAACTTTAATCTTCGTATCACTGTCGTGAAGATCAACGAAACGGCAGTTTCGATATGGTCAGAGAAAGCAGGGTCTTAATTAAGTGGATTTAGTTTCACGAAAGTTCACATCATCATGCAAGACATAAGTACATTGGGTCTTACTTCGGATCGAACCGGGATAGGTAGAAGTTTAAGCGCAGGTCTCTCGAGGCATATGAAGCTTTCTTCTTCAATGGGTTGCGGTTCAACTCCAATAACGTCATTTGCGGGGAGAGTTGGTGAAGGTGGTCCACTGGTAGTTGTACGTAATCCTGGATATTTTTTGTGAGTTCATAGAGATTACTTCTGACGAAAATTTTGCTTCTGACAAGTCCCAGAATTAGGCGCTCACTTGCTGACAGTCGAACTTCTTTATCAGCATTGAGTTATACGCCCTTCCTGAAATCATCTGCACCAAGGGTTTCCTGACGGAGTAAGTTAGTCTCGTTCGAGCACAGGTCATCAGCTAGTCAGCGTATAAGACCAGAAAAAATCCCACAAAGTTTCTTTCAAGGGGCAAAAAAAAACATGTCAGTGAAAAGTAGGAAAAGTAAAGTGCCATAGTAAGTATGTATGTATGTATCTCATTGGCATTTCCACTTTTATGCAAAAAATGGCAAAGCATATCGCTGAACAATATCTGATTGTAGAAAGTTTTGTAATGACACCAATAACAAGTAAGACACATCTATCGGTAGCAATCTACTAAGACTCCCCAGAACTCACATGAGTTTTTTTTATCGCAAATAACGTCATCGCGACGACACAATTTCAATGAACCGCGAATAGAGTGGAGTGGAGCAGAAAATGCCCGTAATGGCAGCATAATCCAAACATACTCGTGCATAAGCTTTTAATAAGCGGACATACATACATACATACAAATAGCTATTCCACCGGCATAGATGGATGAACGAACTTACAGACCAAACGGCTATAAAACCACAGCAAACACAAAGAAAAAAGACTATATTTGTTGAAAGAGTTCGAAGACCACAAGGAACGACATGGTTTGTGGCAACAACAACAACAACTGTAGCCATGAGAATAATGAAAATAACATAAGCAGCATAAGTATGAACATACCCGTATATACATACATACATACATACTTACATACATACTATGTATTTGTACAATAAATAGCAACATCGGCTAAGAGTGGCGTTTAAAGCGTGCATAGACATTAAAAATACAAATAACAACAAAAATAAAAATAAAAACACTAAACACTAAAATTAACCAATTGAACTCTGGCAATAGGCCACACAGCAGTTGTAGCGACAGCAGTGATGATAATTCCAGCCGTAGCATCGCCAGCGGCAACAGCAGCGTAGTGAGGTGGTGCCGCTGTGGGAGGCAAAAAAGTAGTGAATACCGCTGACTGCCTATAGAATTCCAATATGAGGGCATCCATTAGGGATGCTAATTTTTCAGCTTTTTCCGATCCCGGAATTTTCGGGATTTCGTTATCACATTGCTTCTATATTGTTTGAGAAGCTTTTCTACCATAAAATAAATAATTATAAATGGGTTTGAAACCTTCTTTTTTATTTAAAGTTGCGTTTTTTTCTGACGTCAGGACTAATTTAAAAGGACTTTGTAATTTCAAAGATATGATAAATTCTAAAAATTATTTAAAAACTCCAATGCAATGTTGAATTAAAATATGGGTACCAAATGCAAAAGGAAATTTCTTTTTAGAAATAAAAAAATTTTAATTTTTTAAGCTGATGAAGTTAGAGGGACGAAATTCAAGGATGTTATCCAGTTTATATAAGTCTTTAACTTATAATTTTTTCAAAAACAGATTTTGCGAAATTTCAAGGAAAAAATTTGAAAAGGACATTTTCAATACTTACCAGTACTTCTGCACCAAAAACCTGAACCTGTTTAAATTCTACAGGGTTTTCTCTTTAATTTGATACCCATACTTCTTCTCTAAGTACATTTATCTGAATTTTTTGAATCATTTTTGACTTACTGACGTCAGAGTGAAAAACTAAAAACGCAATTTTACTATATTTGGCCCAGATTTTCGCGAAAATATTGATATTTGTGTTTAAAATTTGTATGTATGTATAATGAGCTAGACATTTATAAAAAATATGAATTTTTAAATAAAAAAGAAATATAGCCAATACTAGTCAAGAAAAGGAGTTTCTATTATTGCCACCAGTGTAAATTACAAATCCAGGTAATCCCGGTATTATTTGCCAAGACTCCCGGGACTTTTGGGATCCCTGGATCCCGGGATTTACATTCCTAGTATCCATGTAGGCTGTGTGTGTTGTGTTACTGTTTGGCGTGTGGATTGGAGAACGGCATGGGACCGACCGACAGATCGATTGCTCGTTGTCGAAGCTGACTTTGTTTCAACAGCGAGGAGCAGCAGTCAGACGGCGCTGTTGAGTAGAGATTCAGCTTTAGTTAACAGACGCATTCGGCGCTCGATCACACGACGGGGTATCACTCACACGCGTAAATATATTGTTATCAAAAAATATATATATATTTCTTAAGTCAGTTTTAAAACTAGATATGAGGAGATAAACGCACGCCAAAAATAAAGCAGCAAAAACAATTAATTTAAATTGCCTATATTTTTTTGCATAAAAAATAAATTTGTTACAATAATGCATACTGTCCACCACCCACTAACCCGCTTTTTCAGATCTGATGGCTCATCAAAGTCAGGTGCTCAGCTGTAAATTGTGTGAACGGCTTACTTAAATAATAAACAAATAAAAAACAAAAGACATGTCGCAATAAACAATTAAACGAGTGAATTAAAACAACACAAACAAATTTCCGAAAGATTTCTACCGTAATTTCCAGCTGTGCGAATCGTGATCAAAACCGCCGCAGCGATTAGATAGATTTAACACTGAAATGCTAATATTTTGCATTAGCAAGACCAAACGCGTTTTCGTAAGAAATGAAAGTGTGTGTGTGAAATTAAAAAAAAAGTAAAAAATACATGTAGTTAAAATAAAAGAACAATTTTGAAGAAATCAACAACTTGCAAATTTCATTAACAAAAACCAAAAAGAAAAAATCCAAAAGCAAAAGCGGCTAAGCTACACACTCCTGATCCCCCGCCCCCCCCCACAGAGCGTGATCAATCTATATGCAAACATACATATGTATGCCACTGTAATAAAGTGAAAAGTGTACTAAAAAAAAAAAATAATAATTATAAAACAAAATAAGCACACAAATAAAGGCAGAGTGGAGCACACACCCGAAAATGGATTGGAAAGAGCAACCGGCCGCAAATGATATCGAGCAATTTCTACGCGGTAAGTCGTTTCGCTTGACTTGTGGCACTAATGTTTTTTTCTCATTTTCCCCACTTAATACGCTATTGTGCGACAAGCTTAACTATGTAAATATTTACTAACATTCCACTGATTGCAATGTTGGTGGTTTTAGTATGTACATATGTATGTATGTAGTTAACCCTTTTTTCTATGTGTTAAAACGTTTTCACACTTATATGTTAGTTCTACTTTTATACTACTTCCTTATACATACATACATATATATATATACTAAGTGCCGGGAAAAGCTTATATTCCTTAAACATATGTATCTAAATAGTTAGATTTGCTTAGTGACTATTCTGACAAGTGTTATGAAGCAAAATAGAAAATTTTTCTCAGTAATTCTATCAATTTTTGTTAATTATCTGTGTAAATCAAAGAAAAAGGTGGTGTTTAAAGTAGAGCTCTAGATACCCGGGTATCGAGCAATGCGAGTAGCTCGGTACTCGATCGAAACTCGTTCATTGCTCAACTGCTCAAATGTTTGTTCAAAATTTTCGAGTTTTTGAACAATTTCATAAACAAAAGAAAATTTGTAAATTGTATTTGTCAGCAGCTGCTTTCTAATTCATGTTAAATAAATTATATTATTAAATACCAATGTAACAATCTTTGCATTATATATCAATAATTTGAAAAATTTAAAAAGTTGCTACCAAAAATGTCAATATAATAAAAAAAACATTGCTCAAATTACTCGAAAAAACTCGAATTGCTCGAGCTCATGCTCGAAAATTTTCGAGTAATGAGCATTGAACAAGTGTGCGAGTACTCGCTGCTCATATACCCGGGCTGTTTGAAAATGTGCGAACAAAATCGAGAGCTCTAGTTTAAAGCAAAGATTAAAATTCCTGGAATAGCTCACCATGATTTTTTTTTTTAGTTTGGTGTTTAATGGTATCTATATGTAAACGTTTTTATAAGCTTTTTACTAAAATATCGCTTCAGCTACTACTTTACATATCATCCATCTCCATTTTTTTATTATGAAACCACTTCTTTTAACTCGCTGATCACCGACTAGTTTGGAAGTTTATTAATAGAATCTTCTCTCAATTGGTCTTAAATTTGTCATACAATTATAGAGATAAATTTATCGACAGATGGAAATTAGAATACTTTGTACTTAAAAATTACGTTCGTGGTTCTCAACAACCTTTAGATATTTTAACCAATCTCTCTTTGATGCAAGTAGGAACTCAAATAAATTTTTATCCTTTACTATTTCAGACCAGTGTTGCATATACTAAAAATGCCATTCCAACTATTATTATCGAAGAGAAATTATGAATGTTCATGATCCAATGATCGGAACTAAACCAAATTAGTATGAAACTACCCTTTCCAATAAAAAAAAAAAAACATTGATCGAAAACGGTTCAAAGTTATCCGGTATTCCGATGAATTGATAATGTTCCTAATTTTTTGAAGTCGATTAAAAATAAATATAATATTTGTAAATACAATGCAGTAATTCAACGTCAACGCCGCACAGTATTCTATTTTGGAAAAAAGGGACAAAATCGAATGTCTCTAGAAGAGAATTCAGAAAAAATCTACCTTGACCTTTAAAACCTTTAAAATGACCTCTAAATAAAAGATTTTAATTTTTTTATTTTTTTTTGCCTGAAACCAGATGCAATGAACTTTTGAAAAGTTTGCTGTTCTTGCGTCAAAGAACCAACTTCAGTGGTCGCCAGAATCGAAAAAGGCATTAAGAATTTCTTTTAAGTTCATTAAAGCTGTTTTTAAGTAAAAAAAAAGAAAAATCAAAAAAATTACTTTTGAAGTTCATGTAAAAGGTCTAATTAAACGAAAGATTAAAAATTGCCTTAACCTCAAAACCGGTCTTCAAAAGTAAATTCTTTAAATTTTTTCTTTTTTCACGGATATGTATTTAACGAGACTATTTTTCCTGAATTCTCCATCTCAAAGTTACATTTAGGTTGCTCTCTCTTCTCGTCCTCGAGATATTTGATTTTGTCCCTTTTTTCTAAAATAGAACACTGTGCGCAGCCGTGAGTATTTTTTTTAGCCAAATTTTTCTGAGAAAGTTGAAGCAGTGAAAGTTTCATCGAAGGACCATTGGGATTATTTACATATTAAAATAACACAGGCCAAGAAGGGTCAAGAAGCAGAAAACCTAACATATATTTTCGAAAGATTTCGGTACGCTGAATCCAAATCTGGCTGTAAAAATTTGATATGACGTCAAGTTTTTGAGTTATCCTAACCTGAGTGTGCAAAACAAAACATGTTTTTCGTCACACACAGAAAAGTAGACAAAGTAGTCGAAATGCGATATCTCGGCGAAAAAGGGGGAAGATTTGTTTATTTAAGATACCTTGACTAGTTTTCTATGAAAAAAAGTTAAGTGCGATGCGAGTAGTTTTAAAAATGAACGACTACATCCAGGTCCGAGCAGCATCCGAAAAAAAATTTTTTTTCTCTAATAGTTGTCGCCCCTCGGCAGGCAATGCATAGCCTCCGAGTGCATTGAAAAAGCTTCTCACAGTACAAATTGTAAGAAATGCTCGGCCAAACACTTTGCCTGCATGTGAGCGCCAAATATTTATTTATTTATTGTAGGCTTGGTGTAGTGTCACACAAAGTGGATACCCATGCATTGAAGTATTATTGTTGTTGGGACTGTCGATACAAATTTTTTTAATGCTAAACAGAGTTTCTTTGATTTGTGAATTTGTAACATTTTTTTTTTTTTAGATTAGGGATTCCCCCAATATCGAATAAGGAGACTACTACTTAATATGCAACTAAAATTCGAGTAAAAATTCAACGTCACTCAGTTAGCAATTACGAAAATATGTGCCACGAAATCGCAATTCACCGGACGTTGGCTGCTTAGTGCTTGGCAACCTACTTATTGCAAGAAACGACTTTCTACTACAATTCGCACGGTTTGGCTTGGTGGCCTCTACTGGCAGCTTCAAAGCATTATGTACATATGTATCATAATGAGAAAATAAGAAGACACCTAATTACATACATAGTATAGAGCTAACAAGGTTTTATGAAAACCCCATAATTTAAATAAAAGTAGCCACGCCTCTTCGGCGTCAACTAAATTAGTACCTCACCGACGCCGCCTAGCGTTGCCTACAAAAGTTTTGCAAAGAATATTTTACGCATTTCAATTTTTTGTTTTCTTCTTCTAGCCGCTCGCACACTAACTGCTAGTTGCTTAATTTACTGCATTCGCTTATTTTTTGTTGACTCACTAAACTTGCCGCAGTTGTTCAGCTAACCCCCTTCCCACTGCTTTGGTAGTACGTTTTGTTTGCTGTTTTTTTTTTTTTTTAAATTGGCTTGCCGCAATGCCTCGATTTGTAACGAACATTTGCGGTTTTTTGACTGCTCAGCGTTATTCTTTGGGATTTTTCATTTCATTTTTATGTGGCTGTTAATGTAGCTTTTTTTTTGCGGTGTGTATTGTCTTTCCGTCTGAGGTTAATATGTATGTATGTAAGTAGTTTACCGCTAACACATTTTTGTTTTTATTATTTTCATATTTTCTCAGTTTTTCTTTGGTTAAATGGCGTTACCGTTATTCTGCTGGCTTTTACTTTTAGTGTCGCAACATCAACACATTCGCGCTAGTTATGAATTCATCATCGTTTAACCCCCTGCCTTTTTTTCTTACACTTTTTTGAAAGCCATTTAAGTTGCAGAAGTTCACGACTGCAGTCAACTTAAGTACACAAATATATTGTATATTTTTTTATAGAGCCACATATCTTAAGGGCCTCATTCATTAACTCTTACTTAGCTTTGATTAGTCTTTGAATTAGTCTGCCGCTTGGCTTGGTTAGTCGTACATTCAAAATCATGTAACCAAACACTCGAAACTTTCTTTGAGTAGTTGTAAAAAAAAAATGCATTGCACACCGACTTTTATAACCGCTTTTATCGTCCAAAACTTAATTTCAACGTTGGAAATTTCTTATAATTACTCGCTCGTGTTGAAAGGGTGTTAGCTGACATTTACTTTATTAAAAGTTTTACGTAATTTTAATGGTAACTTTAATGGTGTTGCTGGCCTAAGAATGTGGTATTTAAAAAGTCATTACATCATTGAAATTACCGCTGGTTTTTTATTATCGCTTGACGTTTGTTTTCTTGACGGATGTATGTAACGCTTTTTGTTATCACAGCTCAAATCTCTAAATGATCTGCTATTGTCTGCTGACAGTCGGCCAGAATCCAACTTATGTACTTATGAATTTGTTTTTGGCTTGTTTGTTTATGCGATTTACCTTCTGCTTACCTCGGTTTTATTTTCTATGCCTTACGTTGCTTTAACTTCTTGGCTCAATTAAATCTTTGAATTGCAGTTGATTCCTGAAGAACAGTTCGTGCTTCACAAAACTTGTTTATACCTATTGTATATCTCTCTTTGAATCATTAGTTTTTGCACACGATCATTTAAATACTTTCACACTCTTTTCTTGACTTTCTGCCAGAAAAGTGGAACCCTTATCTTCCTGACAGTCCGTCAGTTCTGAAAGCCTTAAACTTAGAAATGCAAAGCCCCTAACTGTATTTTGTATCATCTGAGATAATCCAGCATTACAGGCATCAACTCATATAGCTGCCTGGCTATCGGGGTAACGAGAGTAATTGCAAAGCTGATGATCTGGCAATTAAAGGTACGACCGCCCACAACCTTCTGAGAAAGGACACAGAAGTTATACCAACTTTAAATTATTTACTAGGAATTACACCGCTCTTATAGCTAATGAACGCTGGAACAACCTTTGGCGTTGTGGAACCTCCGGAATTATCTGGCCTTCCGTAAAAGGAAAAACACATCGGTGTCTAATTATCTTACGCGCCATGAGACTAG